ACCATGTGCTTATGATCAAAAGCTTCCTCGATAAGATCTTACATTTTACGATAACCCTCTACTGGTTCGAACAACGCGCGATGAACTATAGTATCTTTAGCTTCACCATCACATTGCTGAGTCAACTAGTTTAACCTAGATCGGAATTCAACACATTCGGAATTCTGTATGAAACTTCAAACATTCATTGAACTACTACCAAACCTTATGATCTCTCTCACTTTGGTAAGTCTAAAGCCTTAGATATTATCGTTATATAGTTTATTTTAGGACTAACACCAACTTCATGTGAGTACGACATAGACTCGAACGACATCACTTTTTCTGCCAAAAATTGACTATAATCTTCTCTTCCATTTCGCAGTTACGTTTCCAAATCAATTTCTTATTCTGATTGAGCTAAGCGTACTTTAGCTAATTATAACTTCAAAAAGGGATCCATTCAGTAAACGTTTCCTACTAACTTGTCATCACTATGACTGTCAGAATAGTGAACAGATAATTCAAAGGTCTTTCGGTTTTTCTCTGTAAACATTTAGCAGCACTCAACGTAAGAATTTCTGATGAAATACTGGTCGAAACTTTGTAGGATATCATTTGCCCTACACACAAATTACTAGAATTGTAAACGCGATTCTGGCGATCCCACAGTCTATGTGAGTGCTATGGACGTACTAAGGATAACTTGGCTATAAACTTTGTCTGTTTCAAAACGTACAAACAATTAGAGTAATAGAATTTTTAAAGGAATTATTGTCATCAATTGGAACGTGAAAACATATCGACCAGCAGTGCGTGTCTTATAAAAATGAATAAGTATTAAGAGTTATGCCAATATAATAGTATATTAATGTCCTTCAATTGGCAGGTCAAATGCAACAGAGATTGTCTACAAACAGATCAGATCAGATGAGCGTTCAGGCAACGATTTGAATGGCTTGTTATGGACATAAATAACAATCTCTACGACTGAATAACACATTGAATGCAAAAGAACTGTTAGCCAAAATAGCAGTCAGATACTTAAATCCAAACTCCAAGGTATTTCTGTTATACGAAGCCGAAACTAGAAGAACTTGGAGAATCACGGTCTACTATGATATTGGTATCGCTCTAATAGTAGAACCACTCCTAAAATTGTAGAATTGTTATGATGTAACTGCCTAATCTATGAGATCTTACACGGCAGTCACATGATTCAACCTATCGTAAGGATCATCAGCACATGATGGAGACTACATTCAGGTTGGAGATAAAACAATATATATAATGTAGATAGTAAGCTGTTACATAAGTACAACCAGGCCTGCAAAGCCAAGCCGTACCATCCGATCCATTCGGACTAACTAAATTCATCCTTTACACCTTCTTCATCTTTGAGGTTTCCTCCGTGTTAGATGTTGAATATCTGCCTTCACAACTGTCTGGTGTTCGCCCTTGAGGATTGTGTGGCTAAGGCCCTGTGCCACTACATTACTCTCCCACCAGAATCAATGTGACGTTGGTTCGATACCAAACTAGTGAGATTGCCGCGCGCGGGAGGTTCTCAAGAATAATGAGAATCCTCCGAGTATTGATAAACTCAGAGATAAATAAAAAAGAAAGTGGCAGCAGCTTTAAAATTGAAATTTGGGTGAAGATTATTTAAGCTAATCAAGAGGTTTATGACAATAATAATATGATTCCGTGTTAGTCATATAATATAATATACCCTTGTGGGTGAGGGTAATTCTACTTTGGTTTCCAAGAGAACCAGACACCACCCGGACTTTCATTTAAAAACCCAAACAGTGCAGCTCAACCCCGTTTAGCAGGGAAACCAGACACTGTTCAGGTTTTAACGCTACAATCTGAATAGTACAGCTCAATCCTGTGGCTCAACCACACAGGTACCATACACCCTGGTGGACCAATGATTCAGTGTATGGATATTTTATTAAATCGTCGTAAGATATGTGATATTAGCTGTTGATTAATAACTTCACTTATAGATACTACATATTTTGTGTTTTTAGAAATACTAAGAAAAGTCAATATTGTAGAAATGTTAATATTGAAATAACGTTTGGTTCAAATTATTATGTCAAATAACGTTTATGCTGGTAAGCTGTCCATATGAATTGATTTCCAATTGCACCCGCATTAGTAGGTTAACTGGGAGAACAAAAGTATAACCGTGGAAAAGAGTTCCGACTAGTGTTCCAGTTAGTTCGATAGGGTTTATTTAGTTAAGGAGAGATTTAATGGTGATAGAATTCAGTAATGCTACTAATACATATGAATGTTAATACAAAAAATTTTCAGCGCGTGAAAATTGATAATGATGTGAATTTTGACAGTCAGCTAAGAGCGATTCGTCAAACATACGTGTTTGCGCGAGTGACATGCCCTAGACTCAATGTTCTGATTTGCCATAGACTATTTATTTATATTCATACATATGGCTGACGGTACGTACGAGTTAGTTGCAAGTATGTAGTTTAGCATAAAGCGAAATACGATTTAATTGAGAAGTAGTGATTATAAGTTGTTGGAATCAACTAAGCTTATGTTCCACAATTATATGTGATGCAGTGCTGCAAGATGTGTTCGGCTAAATAAGTCTTTGCAAGATGATAAACAATGAGTCATGCTCATATAATTATCAGGAAGAACATAAGTTGTAACCAAGGGGAGTACACTCCCAATTCATGTCAGTAAAGATGACTTGAACCTTAGTCAGTGTTGGGGTAAATTCAACAGCGATGTTTTCAGTATGCAAAAGATTTGCACGAATGCTTATGTTGATTATTGGCATGCATGGTTGCGTTGATAAACCTCCAATTAGATTGAAAAAGTCTTAAAATATTTACTGAACAACTGATAGAGAAATATACTGTAATCATCTGTAGTGGATGAAGACAACGAGAAAACAACACTATGTAATAATAATTATAAGTCGATTTGTTGACCGATTTCTTTAATAGTTCCACCAATTTTATCAGCCATTTTACGTGATAGTCAAGTCATGACAGTTTTTTATGATGAAATCATGAAAAAATTTTGTCAAAGTAATTATAGTGATGTTGACGTGTTCGTCACTCCCTCGAATCAGAACAATTGAATAAATGCAGATAATTGTATGGCTTTCATTGTATGAGCCATCTAAAATGATCTTATGACTGCAGAAAATTTATAGCCTGAACTCACCGTGTGTTTTTGAAGTAGTGTTATCCTAGTTGTTTGAAAATGGAAATCGAAAATTCGAAATAAGGCGGGCAGTTGTCGGAAGAAAGGATTTTACAGGATAATGTATAGTTTAAAACAGATTGAAATGTTAAGTGAAGAAAGAATATGATTAACTGCAGATAACCATTCAGTCCTTGCTTACGTCGCTGGTCGATGTATATTTACGTTATTTACAAGTCTTATTTACTAGAGCTGGATGTTTAACAAGTTTATTTCGCTGAAGCATGTAAGTGCTACTTAAGCTTGTTAATGAACCACCGAAACTAATAATGAATACAGGCGGCCAGTTATTAGCACCAACTGAGTTAGTATGTTACGAGTGCTAATCAGCATAACATTTCGATAATACATATGAGCACTTATCAGAGGATTGATGGAATACTGGTTTAACAGAAATGAAAATCGATCGAGAAAGTTAAAGCGGGGATAAAGTTAACAATAATAGGCTGCGTTTCTTCGGTCGGACTTACCAATGTAGAATTATGGTCTAATTCGATATTAGTACCGTTCAAATAATACACTTAAGCCCAATGTTGAAGATTTGTTATGATGTAACTGCCTAATCTTTAAGATCTTACGTGGGAGTCACACCATTGTCCACATTAACCCATCGTATCGTAACGATTAAAATATGTAATGGAGACTACATTCAGGCTGGAGATAGAACAATATATATTTAATATGGGCAGCAGCGAGTTGTACAGAGCGACCACGACTGCGAAGTTGAACCATGCCATCCGATCAGTTCTAACTAACTGGATTCATTCCTCCCACCTTCTTCATCGCTGTGTTTTCATCCGCGTTAAATGTTGAATATCTATTTTCCAAATTGTCTCGTGTTCAGCCTTGAAAACTGCATGGTTAGGGCTCGATGCCACTGCAAACTAATCGAACTATCATCGAAAACTTACGGGTATTTATTGTCACTAGTGGGATATCATCAACATTAACCTACGTTAGTAGGGAACATACCGGCTTCAATTTCAGGACGGAATCAAAAAGAGCTAGCGGTGGTGATTCAGATGCACAATATGAAACTTTCAATATAAGCTTTCGTTGTGATAATCATGCTACTATTTTACTGGAACCGCCGCTTTTTATATTTGTTCCTGAGTTTATTTGAACAGTTAGAATACTCACCACGCTCTTTCCCTGAAAAGAATTCAGCAAAGTACGGCTTTATTTTGCTATTCCTGTCTCAGTTAGCTTCTTTGAGGACAGAATGTTCTGCGTAATTGTTACTATGTTCTACACACATAGGTAAGTCTCAAAAATCGGAGTACCTCATATTGCAACTTAAAACCATCTCATATTACAAATCAATTTCCAGATTTGTCTGTTAGCATATACTAAATGTATCAAAGTCCAAATTTAAAAAAATCATCATAGGGTTACCAGAATACCCAGAATAATTGTGATATTGTCTGGTATTTTCTGTGGGTCATACTATTTCGTATCAAATTTTAAGGATTGTTAAGTCGTATTTCTACTAATAAAAAATTTCATTCATGGTCAAATTTAGGAAAAGCGTTTACTGTTTGCGGCATTTTGAAAAAAAACCCAGCTGTTCAACCGGTTCTGTGTCCTCACAGTTGTAAGACCGACGGAAGTTCAATAACTATTTTTCGACTTCTAAAAGCGTTTCTTTGCTTCTAAGTTTTAATTATCCACTCACCATACACCACCACAAGTGTAAACTATTGACAGCAGTTTGAAGTACGTTCTAAGTTCAAACAGTGCATTGTTAATCACGACTCTTTTTAGTAGTAAAAATGTTTCTGAATACTTTGTCACCTAAATTTTATGTGGCTTTAACAGGAACAAGCTCCTTAATATCTGGGCTTATTTTGGTATTGATATCTCTCATTTTAACGTTTAGATTTTTGAGTGGTGGTACTTTAAGAAGTACGGAAAGTCGTTTATTGAGCAAATTTCTTGGAGCCACATATATCCACTCATTGGTGGAAGTGATGAAGATAATGAATGTGATAGTATGGAATCTAATGGTCACCTAGCGTCTACGCAAGGTTTGCTAGTATTTTTCTAAATTCTCTCTAGAGTGTAAGGTGTGGAGAAATCCTTATAGTTTGTTTAGGGGGGCGGAGTATCGAAAGTTTTTCCACGAAACAGGTCGTGACCCCCTGACGTATTATGATATGAACTTGTCTGCTCAAGATCATCAGACATTTTTCACATGTGAAGCAGATGGCGGAAAGCCTGAGTATGAAAGTATGTTGTTTTTTAGTACGAAAGTATTTCAAGTTATGCAACTTTCATGGAGAGAGCGAAATCACGAAGAAAGAATCAAGAAGACTAAAGAGGCCTTGGCTAAGAACCCTGAATGTGCAACTGCAATGATCTTGCTTGCAGAGGAGGAGTGCTCCTACATCGTAGATGTGAGTTTTTAAGTTTCTACTTAATATCTATTTTCCGTGTCCATACTTTCCTTGTACTCCATTAATGTATAGTATACGCGCATCCTGGTTTACTGATAGATGATTTGCTTTCGTATTCAATGTATCATCGGAAATACTAATAATTTACAAACATACGCAACAGCCAGTTGTCACGCTTTTATCTACTTCGGTTTTGCACCCGGGCAATATCTCAGCCCTCACACAAATTGAATGATTTATGTGGTGCGTATATATTTGGTGCCCTCTCGTACCAATCTTCATGTGTTTAAATAAACAAATAAAGATGAATAAACAACCATACGCAATAACAAATTATTGTTGAGTATTAAAACGAGTTGATAACAGTTCCTTATGAAGGTTTCTGTCCCTTTTTAACAACTGTTATGGGGAATAGTCCTTGTATTTGAGCACGACAGACAACTGTCAGCCATCGAAGATTTAGAACATTCATATCTTACATAGATATCAGCTTTCTTATAGCTCAGTCACGGCTGGCTGTCAACACTTAAATGTAGTTTAACATTATTGGATTCACCTACTTATCTTATTAGGTTTAATATTTGTAGGTTTTTCATTATTTTATACTTTGAAGCTAATCTTAATACAGTTGGGAGTATTCTCGCATGCTCTGTCAGTACCCTAGTAGCAGTATATTTCTTCATTAGTATCGTCCTTTTAATATGATCGGTTTGCCGTAGTTTTCCAGCAACATCAGGTTCACTATCCCATAGAAACAGAAACCGCCAGGCGATTGCACCAAAAATGAAGGATATCTGTCCTAATGTTATTTACTCACTATATTTTTTTAGTGCATGAAACTATTCACTTACATTTTTGTATACATAGCAGTTATTGTATGCTGCCTAAACCTGCTAAATATCATAGGTTTTCGTTAATCACTTATGTTTGTTCTCGATGTGAAATTTGTTAGTGAATCTAGTTTTAAGATTTTGTTGGCCTTTGCACATTCAAAGCAAGCTAACATCCATAAATCCTTAGTGATCCACATTTCCCTGCATTCAGAAGAAATTATTATCATAAGTTTCTGTGCTCGGCTTCAGGATATATTATGTTAAATGCCCACCAGACTAGTAAACATTTTTAAAATGTCGTTTCTAAACACTAATTACTACCCATGCGGGGATACTAGTACAAACGCAAAGAGAAAAGAGATCTAAATAATCAATCATAGCGCAATCCAGTTGATTTTTAATGGATAAACTGGTGTCATCAATTAAAGTATCTGAACTAAACAATTATTTATTTATTTATTTATTTGAACACATAAATATTGGATTAAGAATGCGCCAAATATATATGCGCCACACAGAACAATGAGAATTTAAGGGGAAGGAGATCAAAAAAGATTGATGTAAGGTGGTGTAATAATAATAATAGTAAAAATGGCGAAACAGAAAGGTACAATCAGAAGAAATCTTTCAGTTAAGGGAGACACAACCACTTTTCATGAAGAAAGTAAAAGGTTACAGCAGGATCACCACTGGCTTCTATTCTGAGCCATATCTGATAACGTCTCTAGCCACTGTGTAGCACCATCTCTCGGACCCCAATCAGGGAGTCGTGAAGATCCAACATAAGCCAGCCCTTTGCAGCTTTCTTTCATACCACGACACCATGTCATACACTGAACATCTCCGCTTTTTCCAACCAGTTCCAGCGTCGGCAAATAATGCACGACATAGAATTCTCTGGGACGACATTCGTAGAACATGTCCAAGCCACCGAAGTCGGTGTTTCAAGATGGTGACGCCAAGTGCATTATCGTCTTTGTGCCCGAACACACGATGCCGAACCTCTGCATTACTAACATGGTATTGCCACTGGATGTCAGCAATCCTTCGGAGACAACGATGATCAAACACAGAGAGTCGTCTAACGTCCTCAACTCGGAGAGGCCAGGTTTCACAAGCATAGAGCAGAACTGCTCTCACCGATGCGTTGCAGATCCGACCTTTTACAGCCAGACTAACACCAAGAAGGCGCCAAAGATGGCCCAGATTGGCATAAGCCGCTCTGGATTTCACTATACGTGCATTGATCTCATCACTCACGCCACCACCAGCACTTATGCAGCTATCTAGATACACGAACTTCTCGACTATTTCTATCTGCTCACCATCCAGGGTGAGTACAGGATTAGGATCCTGCCAGTCTTGTAGAAGTACTTTGCACTTTGAAGGTGCAAAGCACATACCATACCTACGGACATTGATTGCCAACTGATTAAGTGCGGATTGCATGCCTTGGGCATTATCGCGTACTCAATGTCGAGAAGTCTTTCTCCAGGCAACAGGTCCACACCGCCATTACTTACATCCATCAGAGCTGTTTCCAGAATGTCATCGATGGCAAAGTTAAAGAGGAATGGTGAGGTTGGGCAACCCTGCCTAACCCACTGATTGAATAGAACAATGAAGAGAGGTGGTTGTATGCCCTCACTCTGCCTGAGGTGTTTGTATATAGGGAACGACGTGAACCCTTTTTAAAGATAGGGACAACTATCGATTCATTCTACGACGTTGGTACACTTTCGAGCTCCCAGACCTTTGTAAACAACACAGTCAGTCCCTTAGTCAGAAAGTCACCACCACCTTTAAAAATGGCCGGAGGTAAGTCATCTAGGCCAGGTGATTTGTAGCGTTTCGAGAGTTGGAGTTCCTTGCGGACTTCCGCCTCATTTGGTGGATCAGTCGCCACCGGCCATGGAAGGTAGGACAGTCTGACCGATGTTGCCGGAGCAGCAGGCCAGTTGAACTACCCTTCGAAAAATTCTGCCCATCGTCCAAGACGTCGATGGATGCTAGTGATTGGCATCCCATCATCCTCACAGATTGTTTCGCTCACACCAGACTTCTTGCTACCAGTGGCTCGGATGAGTTGGAAGAGCTTCCGGCAATTACCAGATGCAGCTGCTGCTTCCAGCTCATTAACTTGCTTCGACCACCAGGCTTCTCGGTCCTTACGCAAGCTTTGCCCGATTTCATTACGTAACACCAACAAGTCCCCGTCGGCCACCTAAACGACTCTCTTCTGTGCCTAGACGCCCGACCTGAGCATTCAAGTCTCCGGCTAGTACTACAATATCTGTCGAACGCACTTTCTGGAGAAAAACAGATAACTGGTGGTATAATTCATCCTTGATTGCATCCGGGCTGCAATCTGTCGGAGCATAGGCGGAGATGACGAAAAGACATCGTTTCTCACGTCGATTTCTTTTCACTTTGATGGAACTCTCTAATCTAACAGCACATAACCGACTGTGAATGGGGATCCAATCGATTAATGCTGCCTCAGCTCTAGCGCTTAGTGCAACACCAACGCCAGTAAGACCTGACGAAGATGCCACAGGGTCCCCGTATAAGCGTATGTAAAACAAGCTTTTTGAAGCGAAAGATGGAGATCGAAATTGTAGTACTTCACCAGAGTCTTGAATACGGGTCTCGGATAGACAGCAAACATCGATATTAAGACTTTCCAAAGACATAGCCAGCCCTATCTGTTGTCTGACCTGTATAAGTGTGCGAACGTTGAAGGCAGCAAGTTTGAATGGTGCACGTGGTTTCAGAAAAACTGCTTCAGTTTTTGTATTCGGTGGTAACATACAATTTCCAACCAGGCAGTGACTCGAGAACGTTTAGATGCAGTCGAATTTCCACCAAAGACGAGCTGCTGTATAAACCGAAAAATAAGTATAGACGGAGTAGGAATAAAAGAGGGTGAATAATGACATAGTAAATAATAATAATAATACTAATAGTAATAATTTGAATCATTTGATTGTTATTTGGAGCGAGAAATTTAGTTTCCATAGATATAGAGAATCCATCATTTGCGTGTGGGTTGTGATACTTCCCGGGTGCCCAGACCGAAGCAGGTGGTTTTCTTAGGGGCCCACATCCCGAGCCTTTGACCTAAAGGTCTAACTCACAAGGCAGTGGAGCATCGTGAGGAGATGCAGTCCCATGGTAGTCGGTGACCGAAAATTGGTTCATACGCCATTTGTTCCCGCAGAATACTGGAGTCCATGTGCACCATTGGTTTGGAATTCGGTTAAAGAGCCGGATATTCGCTTTTCGTCCTCTCATTTTTGTAAACAAAACCCCTGCCACGAGAAGGCAGTGACTAGGACTTCCCTGGCAAAGGCTGTATACGCGTGGCCATGTGAGAGTATTTCGAGAGGGAGGGCGGACCCATCCCGCTCTCGGCTATACTAGGGCATTCGGGGGCAAACATTACTATGTATTTACCGTTTTCAATAAATTTTTATTTGTCATACTTAGACGTGGATTTCCATCCCAAAATTCATAATTTGGTCAATCTATAAATTTGTCAGTTGGTATATAATATTTGGGGCAAAGAATAGTCCAGTTTGTTTGAAATAAGTCAGACCCTACATACATTTAGGATTAACGTAAAAATTCAGATTTCCGATGTATAACCGTATTATCGTTTATTCGCGTTTAAAACTGACCTCATATTCAAAGTATATCTTCAACTAAATCTTTGTTTCTTGCTTGTTTGCTGTCACTGAGTCTAACTATTTAGTCACTAATTCATCCTAAATATTTTGAGTGTTTCTAATTCGAAGCTAGATTCACAGTTGATTTTAATTTGTTCACATACTAAAACAAACTGATTGGCTTCCTTTCAGATGTGTTTTAGAAATGTTAATCACATTGTGAAAGAAATTTTTAGTGTCTGCCAGAGAAACATGGGTACAGCGGCATTTTAAATCGTGATTAGATGCTTCAATAAATAAATACTTTGTTTTAGTGGCAGCCAAGTCAGTGACATAGAAACTCACTGAACATAATTCCTTGTGACATGTGTATATTGAAATGACGGGCGCAGAAATTGTTTATACTAATAGACATGACCTAGCTAGCGGTTAATCGTCAATTTCTATTTCCTTTATGTAGTTTTTACGTCGGATTTCTGTTATTTTATGGATTTATTCGGTGTTTTTTTTAAGTAAACTAAATTAAATATATTGTGTTTCTACTAAATACTAGTCCTTGTATATATCTTTCTTCCAGGTAGAAAAAGTATACAAACAAGCATATAAAGTTGCTGAGACAAATCTTCGTCGTTCTCAACAGCTTCAAAACCACAGTCCAGCACATGAATCAATGTATCGGAGAGATATACATGCATTTGTTTTCATTCGACGTCGACTTGCAATGTGTGCAAGAAAATTGGGTAAATTGAAAGAAGCAATAAAAATGATGAAAGATGTATGTGTTTCATGTTGTTTTGAGAAAATATTTCTAGCTACTGTGCATTATTGTTTTCCATGGTCAGTATTCTATAATTTATATCTTGAAAGATAAGTGTTCACTTGCAATGTTTCAAGTCAGAGAAATATACATTCAAGGAATCAATAATGAACTCGGCCTGGTGATTTATTGTTAAAGAATGAGTGCATATTTTAGTTAAGAAAGTTCTTATGGACATTGACTCGTTTACTTGTAAAGCTTTTTCATTATATTTTAGTGCAGAAATATTCTGTAATTAGATTGATTAGGTTAAATTACCTTAAGTCTGATAGTTTAACCTGTTACTTTTAATCAATAACGTAAAAGGCAAAAAACAAAATAGATTAATGTTTCTAGGTGAGAAATACGTTCCTTCAAATTTAAAGGAAATGACACTCATTCAGAAAAATGGAGATAAGTACATCTTCCTAATGAATCGCGCTAGTTGCGATATGTCAGATGTCTTATCATTGCAGTATGCATAGTATGATATTCCTATTAACTCTTCCGTCATTCAAATCAAACCATAATTCCAGGAAAGGAAATCAATGTCAGTGGTGATTAGATGAAAAAACGTATTATATAATCAGAAGAATTGTAATGATTCATTAAGAACTTCTTTCATATAACTAACATCTGGTTTTATCTCCAACTTTATCCTCAGAAATGAATCAAATTGAGAATAACTATTAGTTTCATGATTTTTAAAGCTGTTTTGTTTTAAATAACGTGTCATTGTTTATCATTTGATAATTTTAAAGGTCGTGCATAGAAAAAAACATGTATCCATCAGTTCTCAACATTTCATATTTTTATGCTCATACTTCAGTTTTTATTCATCACTCCAACTTACAGTTATTATTCTTTCTCTTTATCTATTTTCAATTTTTAGAGTATTTGAATTCGATATTATCTATTACCCAGAAATAAAATTAAAACTGAGCTTATAAGTCTTATCCTTTATTTCAAATTATTAAAGCTTATTAACCTGTTTAGCTACTACTTTCTTAGAAGACTAAATACATCAAATTGAATTAAAATCACTTTTGTTTATATTCATATCATTACCTGAGTTACTACTTAAAAGTGTTAGTCGGTCTTATGTATCTGTACAACTTAATCATGTGATATTCACAGGATATACTGTTTTTTAAGTTATTCTATACCAGATAAATCACTTGTCTAAAATTGTCGGCTAAAGTTACGTTGCTGATTGTTAGGGTGTGGTGAAAGTTGGATATTTTTAATGGATAAGTATATCATCTTCCTCCTCACCGTTAGGTAAGTGATACCAGAAATAGTCCACCTCAAAATAGCTTAATTTTCGAACTCACAGAATCAACAATGTGGCTTAAATATTAGGAGGTAACACTGCATAATTGAAAACACTTACTAACTATAATTCTGTATTCAGAAAACGTCAAAAAATGTCTGTGATCATATCTGTAGGTTTGTACAAACAACAGTAATTATGTTTCTTTTTAAGCTTCACTTCGGCGAAAAATTCTATCACAATCTAAGTTGGAATCACAAATTATCTACACTTACACTGGTAGTTCGAACCCAACGAAAAATCCCTATATAGTCAAATAGAACTTTTATCTAAGTATATCTCACGTGGCGCATGAGAATTTCAGACCTATCTGAAAGCGATTTTTACATCTCATGGTTTCTAAACGAAATAATTGAATTTTGTCTTTAAGAGCAGATTAATCCATATTGTTTTAATGTTATAGGCAATATTAATATGCTTGTCTTTCACAACCGTTAACAAACTAGTAATAGACTATTCTTTCTATCCTGTGTTAAGTAAAAGTCATATATATATATATATTACGAAATCGCACGTTATATCTAATTTCAACCCAATATCTATGCTAATTTTAGCTTATAAAGGAATATCCAAATTTAAATCTTTTCAATATCCATGAAAATCTTATTGAATGCTACCTAGCTGCCCAGCAATATGCTGATGCTCAGGCTTTCCTAGCTAAATACGATGGTAGGTTATTTGAAAATAAGATAGTGATCATATATTTTAATTATTTATTGGCTACTCAATAGATATTGCAGTATTTTGTTAACTGTATGGCATATAATGTTCATTTTTCTTAATTTTCCTAACCGATATTTCCACTGTAACTGTTACATTGAAATGGGACTAGCTTTTCCTACCTCCAAAACAAATCGAACACTGGACAGAATTATTCAAAGAATAATTCAAATGGTTTCTTTCCAAATCAACGTCGAGCACTTTCTGATATACTTTTAGGTCCGTGACTACTGACCCACACAACAAAGCGGAGATTCATAAAGAATTTCAACTGCTGGAACGTCACCAGTCTTAAATGACTTTTAGCCTTTTTTGGGGATAACGGAAAACTTTTGGCTAGGAGACTAACCAACTCGTTGAAAAACTTTTGAGTAACAGATTGTCCTATCATTTTGGAATAAAAAATCTTCGTCCCTACCTTTACAAAGAACTTAAATAATTTTATTATTAGCATCTCAAAGGCTCTGTACACATATCTCCCAAACAGGATGGATGCATACGCCATCCTCTCTCCTTTGTTTCAGCTTGACAATAAGTTCTATAGAGTACTGCTTCTGATGCTTTTGCTAGTTCTTAATAGTTTCATCTCGTTGTGCTAATGTTGGATAGCAACTTGAACCGATGCACATATGTGCTGGTTTCTGCGTTGCATTTGACTGACTTTTAGGTAGTGTCTCCCTATATACAATACTTCTCAGTTTTGATATCGATGTCATTCCGTAAACAGCTCCAATGAAGGGAAGTGGTAATGTAAATTTGCTATTCTGACATACATCATCTTGCTGTGCGACAACACAACCTGTCCAAATCACACTTAATCAGTTATCTATTGGTTTCCATAAGTAGGGTATGTAATTTACAGTTTCTGGATGTATAGTACTTCTACAAGACGAGTAGACGCTCTTTGAAGGTATCGGATCGGAGAAATGCAAAGGATGTTACAGCATTACTGGGATCGATTTTCAGCGGTCACCAATAGGTCTCTAACTTTATTCTTCGACTTTGGCGTGAACTCGAACCACAAAATCTATCTCCAAGCACGACTCAAATCAACAGTCGTTAACGTCATAGACTGATTCTACGTCCTAGATTTTGAGGAAGTCTTACCTCTTGTAGAAGCTGCAGTGACATCTGTTAGCAACCTAACCTAAAAGACTAACAAAGGCTAATGTAACTCGAAAGCCACTGCCAAGTTATTGGTTATTTTCATCCTGCATCACCGTCTGTTGACTAAGATAGTATCTGGATTCGGAGAGCTAGAAATTATTCCGTAAGACTGGTCACCAGTTTCGATTTCTCAAGTATTTGAAAAAGTATAGGAGTTTTTGAAAAAAAAATACACCAAATTAAATGACTAGTGTTGTAATTGAAACATCAACTGTTATCATTATTCATCCCTTTGACAAAGCTCGAGGTGATCAAACCCTAGGAAATTAGACTGGTTTAAGACCTGGACGTATACATTTGGAAACAAAAATTCTTAATAGGGTTCAAGAGCATAAGCATACTTGAAAACTCAACAGCCATCATATTTCTTGACCTCATTGATCGATAAATTTTATGTCATTTTCTGTTGTCGAAAGGGATACATCAATCTTCTAGAGACGTTCTAATCAAACACGTTTATTTATTTCCGATTTAATTTATTGACTATTTGGTTCTGAAGTTATTCGTTTCTCCATAGCTTTTTATGAGCAAAAATATTATGAAACTCGACTAACTGGAGTAATCCATTAAGCCACTAGCCCTTTCTGTGGTCTGCGTTCGCAAGTCCAGGCGACATTAGCTCCGCTATGCAATCGTAGTCAAATGCTATGAATGTGAGCTCAAATCGATTTTAGGTGAAGTAGACCCATTCATTCTTAATCTTTCTTTAAATGGTGAATGTAACGTTATTTTACACAATTTCTCAGTTCGGTCCGTTTTTATTTGAAAAGTATATTCTCAATGTCCTGTTTATTAATGTTATCGTTTTGAATCCACTGCTCTTCCTGTTGGTAATTTTTTTGATAGTACTTGCTTCAAGTATAAGACTTTAGATTAACATAGTTTTATTTCGCTCCATTTCCATCCTTTTTCAGATATTAACTATCCGAAATCAGCTACTATATGTTACACTGCAGCTTTACTTAAAGCCAGACAAGTATCTGAAAAGTAAGTTTTTCTTTGTTATATTACTTAGCTGAACATTGTTTCCAATGTGGCTGTAACGTGGACTTGCTATGCGTTTGCTACTTACGAGGCCAATAAAAGAGCATTCGAAACGGAGACAGCAAGTCGCATTTGAAGTGGCAAAATTATTTTGTTGAAACTGAACTATATGAATGGCCTGAAGCCTACCAGTCGAATCAGAGATAACAGCTAATAGGTTTCGGAGCAGAATTCAAAGAGTCATGGGGAAGAGAACGATAGTAGCCGCTTCAACTTTCATATGTAATTACTGTTACTTGACAACTTACTTGTCATACTAAAATCTTATGTTATAAATTTTTATTTAGATTTTCTCCGGACTTGGCGTCACGTAGGGGTTTGAATGCAGCTGAACTGAGTGCTGTTGAAGCTATTCATCGGGCTGTTGAATTTAATCCACATGTACCAAAAGTGAGTTTACTGTTATGTGGATCCTATGTAATCTTAGCTTTAAACACTGTACTTCAAATAAAGCGGTGGTCCAGTTTTCTAGGCGTTCGACTTTTTAGCCAGATTCATATTCCACCTCACCCAGTTTAGTTCGAACACCCGGACAGTATTACTGACTCTTACAGTTAGTATGATTCTAAATCCAAACATGCGAGTAATCGGTTATTCATATGCATCATTGACATGTGTACATCAGTTCAAGTTGTCACATCCCCATTATTACAGGAAGAAGAAACTGTCAGGTCATTTTTAGAGGAGTTGATAGCCGAATTCATATGGAGCTTATAGTTTGAAAAAACTAACAACCAAACAAGTGCAAACTGTTGTTAATATTTGTTGGCTCTCTGTTTACACAGATTTGTACATTATACTTGTTATGTGTACAATATCGTCACACTGTTAGAGCACTGAAAGAACTTGTCAATTAAGTTCAGTATTTTGTTGACACTCCCACAAATGTGTCGAGTACTTACTTAACCGAACTGTTTACATTCTGTATCATGATGCAGTCGGTTAGAAGCATTGTACGATATTTAGTACCAGTCTTAAATTTGTCTAATTCTATTTTAGCTGTGAAGCAAATGCTAGAAGTGTAGCTAACATGTTACTACAGGTGACATGTTTATTTTCGTGTGAGTTACTTTAATCAGAGAATCATCTGTGTAAATTGAATTCCTGTTAAGAAAAAACACATTACATATCAGTTGCGTTTTCAGTCTTCATCCAATTGTAATCTTCTTAGCTAATGGTTTAGAGAACTTCATCTTACTGTTTTCTGCTATAGTCAAATTACTTGAATAAAATATTTCCCATTTATGATAATGTATATCTAACATATTAATCCAGTCCGAACTATTCATTATGCTCGGCTACAGAAACTCTTGTATTAGTTTCTAATTTTACTCCGCGTCATTGGGAACATCGCAAATAAATTATAACCAAGCCAGTAGGTCCTGGGTTCGAGCCCCGCGTGGTGCGAGATCGTAGATGCGCACTGCTGAGGAGTCCCATACTAGGACGAAACGGCCGTCCAGTGCTTCCACGTTTCCCATAGTGGTCTAGCTTCAATTGACTCATGATTTCAACCTGTGAAATTTCCTAAATTCTCCACAAAACTCATTCTTATAACCAAATAATTAAAAATGTGTCGTTTAAAATCTCCTTTAGAACACTGGTTAGATTTCACTGGGCTTCCAAACATACGTCTTTACACTGGTTAACTCTTAACCAAATACATTGGAATGAAAGATAATCGCTAGTATCTACCAACCTTCTACAGAATTGTAGGGCAGTCTATTCAGTTACTCATTAATGATGAAAGTCCATAACCCGTTACTTTTTTCTAAAACCTATCCACTTCAGTATCTCACAAAGATTACTTAATCATTTGATTTTTGTCATATACGTTTTTAAGCCACCTCTCATCCTATTTGAAGTAAATTGAGCGAACACGGTGAGGTGATTAGATTAATTTCAATAGTTTTTTTGTATTTTAAATATTCTTAGGGAATTTATTACTGTAATAGTGCTTTGACTAAATTAAATGACTGTCTTAATAATTAAACTCATGACTTGAAAGTAATATCCATTAAGTGGTAGTAATTCCGTTATGTATTTTTACGCGCCCTTTAATTAATCTGGTCTATTCAACCGGAAGAATTCGCAACTTAACTTAATATAAACTTCCTGCGATCCTAATTACCGTTTTAGCATTTACTCTTATTATTTATCTCTTAGTAAAAACAACAAAGATATCTCTTGATATTGATAATATTCAAGAAACGAAAAGACTTATGAAAGAATAAATCAATGAGTCATGATTCAAAGCATTCTTTCTACTGACCAATTCATTTTCTACCAATCGAAATACCATATTACAAATCTGTACTACTTTTAAACAAAAAAATCACATATTTACTCCATTGGATTTGTTTCATTTAAATTCTCTTTCAGTACCTTCTTGAAATGAAACCTCTAATATTGCCTACAGAGCACATTTTAAAACGTGGCGATTCTGAAGCCATAGCATATGCATTTTTTCATTTAGCCCATTGGAAAGCTGTAGAAGGTGCAATTAATTTATTATATTGTACATGGGAGGGAACTTTTCGACTCATTCCATATCCTCTAGAAAAAGGAAACCTTTTTTATCCTTATCCTCATTCAACTACAGCGACCGATCGAGAACTTTTACCAAGTATGAATACTTTGTTTTTGTTTTGTCATTCTAGTCTCATGTGTGGCGCATATATATATCTAGTGCCCCCTTTTACCAATGTTTGTGTTCAAATAAAATTTAAAAAATGAAATTCCAGTCTCATAAATGATGTCAAAATATATTTGGTGAACTACATCATTTACGTGGTTGAATTCAATTAACGGTTTTATAGATCACTTGTTGAATCCTCTCTTGCAAAACACGGTATTGTTTGATATGTTTTATTTCAACCAGCTAGCATTATAATCTCAAACGTTTGTAAGAAGAATCATTTATGAACCCACCTTTAATCGAAAATTAAGATCTAGTGTTGCTATTTCTTTCGCAGTAAAGGCAGATATTATCAAATACAGAACAATTAGAAGCAGTACACAAAAAATTGTTATAATTCGTAGGAGAATTGGCTTATTGGATTAAGTCTGTAAATCATGTTCTTAGTTTTATTAATAATATTGTGCTCTACTTTTTTAAAACTTCGAATGAAATTTACGGGCTGGAAATTGTAAAACTCTTTTGTCAATGATTATGGAAATACACTTCGGTTTATTAGAAATTTGACCTTACTCACAGCTCAAGATCGCAGTCCTCCTATAAAGACGAGATATTTAGAGTTCTGGCTTTGAACTAGTGCTACCATCAATAACGTGCAAAATATATCCAGGCTTTTAGTAGTAAAATGTTCATGTCTAAGTGCTTTGACTAACAAAGTTGACATTAGAATTTTTCGGCCCCCAAATGCCCTGGTATAGCCGAGAGCGGGAATGGTCCGCCCTCCCTCTCGAAATACTCTCACATGGCCACGCGTATACAGCCTTTGCCAGGGAAGTCCTACTCACTGCCTTCTCGTGGCAGGGGTTTTGTTTACAAAAATGAGAGGACGAAAAGCGAATATCCGGCTCTTTAACCGGATTCCAAACCAATGGTGCACATGGACTCCAGTATTCTGCGGGAACAAATGGCGTATGAACCAATTTTCGGTCACCGACTACCATGGGACTGCATCTCCTCACGATGCTCCACTGCCTTGTGAGTTAGACCTTTAGGTCAAAGGCTCGGGATGTGGGCCCCTAAGAAAACCACCTGCTTCGGTCTGGGCACCCGGGAAGTATCACAACCCACACGCAAATGATGGATTCTCTATATCTATGGAAACTAAATTTCTCGCTCCAAATAACAATCAAATGATTCAAATTATTACTATTAGTATTATTATTATTATTTACTATGTCATTATTCACCCTCTTTTATTCCTACTCCGTCTATACTTATTTTTCGGTTTATACAGCAGCTCGTCTTTGGTGGAAATTCGACTGCATCTAAACGTTCTCGAGTCACTGCCTGGTTGGAAATTGTATGTTACCACCGAATACAAAAACTGAAGCAGTTTTTCTGAAACCACGTGCACCATTCAAACTTGCTGCCTTCAACGTTCGCACACTTATACAGGTCAGACAACAGATAGGGCTGGCTATGTCTTTGGAAAGTCTTAATATCGATGTTTGCTGTCTATCCGAGACCCGTATTCAAGACTCTGGTGAAGTACTACAATTTCGATCTCCATCTTTCGCTTCAAAAAGCTTGTTTTACATACGCTTATACGGGGACCCTGTGGCATCTTCGTCAGGTCTTACTGGCGTTGGTGTTGCACTAAGCGCTAGAGCTGAGGCAGCATTAATCGATTGGATCCCCATTCACAGTCGGTTATGTGCTGTTAGATTAGAGAGTTCCATCAAAGTGAAAAGAAATCGACGTGAGAAACGATGTCTTTTCGTCATCTCCGCCTATGCTCCGACAGATTGCAGCCCGGATGCAATCAAGGATGAATTATACCACCAGTTATCTGTTTTTCTCCAGAAAGTGCGTTCGACAGATATTGTAGTACTAGCCGGAGACTTGAATGCTCAGGTCGGGCGTCTAGGCACAGAAGAGAGTCGTTTAGGTGGCCGACGGGGACTTGTTGGTGTTACGTAATGAAATCGGGCAAAGCTTGCGTAAGGACCGAGAAGCCTGGTGGTCGAAGCAAGTTAATGAGCTGGAAGCAGCAGCTGCATCTGGTAATTGCCGGAAGCTCTTCCAACTCATCCGAGCCACTGGTAGCAAGAAGTCTGGTGTGAGCGAAACAATCTGTGAGGATGATGGGATGCCAATCACTAGCATCCATCGACGTCTTGGACGATGGGCAGAATTTTTCGAAGGGTAGTTCAACTGGCCTGCTGCTCCGGCAACATCGGTCAGACTGTCCTACCTTCCATGGCCGGTGGCGACTGATCCACCAAATGAGGCGGAAGTCCGCAAGGAACTCCAACTCTCGAAACGCTACAAATCACCTGGCCTAGATGACTTACCTCCGGCCATTTTTAAAGGTGGTGGTGACTTTCTGACTAAGGGACTGACTGTGTTGTTTACAAAGGTCTGGGAGCTCGAAAGTGTACCAACGTCGTAGAATGAATCGATAGTTGTCCCTATCTTTAAAAAGGGTTCACGTCGTTCCCTATATACAAACACCTCAGGCAGAGTGAGGGCATACAACCACCTCTCTTCATTGTTCTATTCAATCAGTGGGTTAGGCAGGGTTGCCCAACCTCACCATTCCTCTTTAACTTTGCCATCGATGACATTCTGGAAACAGCTCTGATGGATGTAAGTAATGGCGGTGTGGACCTGTTGCCTGGAGAAAGACTTCTCGACATTGAGTACGCGATAATGCCCAAGGCATGCAATCCGCACTTAATCAGTTGGCAATCAATGTCCGTAGGTATGGTATGTGCTTTGCACCTTCAAAGTGCAAAGTACTTCTACAAGACTGGCAGGATCCTAATCCTGTACTCACCCTGGATGGTGAGCAGATAGAAATAGTCGAGAAGTTCGTGTATCTAGATAGCTGCATAAGTGCTGGTGGTGGCGTGAGTGATGAGATCAATGCACGTATAGTGAAATCCAGAGCGGCTTATGCCAATCTGGGCCATCTTTGGCGCCTTCTTGGTGTTAGTCTGGCTGTAAAAGGTCGGATCTGCAACGCATCGGTGAGAGCAGTTCTGCTCTATGCTTGTGAAACCTGGCCTCTCCGAGTTGAGGACGTTAGACGACTCTCTGTGTTTGATCATCGTTGTCTCCGAAGGATTGCTGACATCCAGTGGCAATACCATGTTAGTAATGCAGAGGTTCGGCATCGTGTGTTCGGGCACAAAGACGATAATGCACTTGGCGTCACCATCTTGAAACACCGACTTCGGTGGCTTGGACATGTTCTACGAATGTCGTCCCAGAGAATTCTATGTCGTGCATTATTTGCCGACGCTGGAACTGGTTGGAAAAAGCGGAGATGTTCAGTGTATGACATGGTGTCGTGGTATGAAAGAAAGCTGCAAAGGGCTGGCTTATGTTGGATCTTCACGACTCCCTGATTGGGGTCCGAGAGATGGTGCTACACAGTGGCTAGAGACGTTATCAGATATGGCTCAGAATAGGAGCCAGTGGCGATCCTGCTGTAACCTTTTACTTTCTTCGTAAAAAATGGTTATACCTTCCTTAACTGAAAGATTTCTTCTGATTGTACCTTTCCATTCCTCCATTATTACCACTATTATTGTTATACTACCTTACACCAGTCTTTCCCTTTTTTTCACCCTGCTTACCTTTTTTTTTCTTTTTCCTTCTCCTTAACTTCTCATTGTTCTGTGTGGCGCACTTTTGTACCAATATTTATGTGTCCAATTAAATAAATAAAGAATTTTTCGTTGCTTCCAAAAACTTGGTTGTGTCAAAGTGAATGGAATTTACACAACAGATTATGACAAATATTATTGGCTAAAAACATAGCTTTCTATTTTCAATTACAAGTAAGAACGAAAAAAAATCTCTCATTCTTGGTAAAATAAAAAGATCACGAATTTTGGAATTAGAGCTAAGTTCTAGTTGGTGGATTGTCATATTTGACATGAACTTGAAGCAACCATATTACAGCAGTAATTATCATACAAATAATAAAAACAAATATTTCAATGGAGAAATTAATCTTTTAGATGACTACATTTGAGAAAATTGTAGTCATCTTTATATGAATAAATATGATAAACAAGTTCAGTGTTAAAATGCGTCAAGTAAATTCTAATTATAAGTTTGTTATCATTAAATTTGAGTTTATGTCTGAAAATTTACAAGTAAGGCGCCCGCATTATTTTGCAACATTCAATATGAAGCTCTAGCTTTATTTCCGTGTGTAATAGACTTTATTTTTTATAAAATGTCATGAGTCTTTTTGTACATACCCATAACTTTAAAAGAAATACATATGTATCATAACGAATTTCCTTTGTGCTCTCTTTTTATATTTAGGTTTTCATACATTATCTGTGTATCCGAAAAAAGATGTGCCATTTTTTATTCTATTTATTGCGGCTTTATGCTCTTTAACAGCCATACTTACATGTTTAACTCATGTCTATCCTGAACAGATGGGATCACTTTCTAGTAAGGTGAGTCCAAATAACTTTTCAAAAATGGATCTTTATGTTTAAACGGGACTATAAGTTTGGTATAATTGCCACTAGTATTTGAAGTTTCAATATCTACTCGAAAAACAACAAAAAACTGTCATTTATATATATTATATTTCTAAACTACTTAAATGATAAAGTCAATCAACTGCTGTATTACACAGCATTGGATACGACTGATCACGTAATGGATGCGATTATTTACCTCATATCTAAAATATTAGTTTGTTAAGTTGAACTTTTATTTATTTTATGGTATTATTTACGTACTAATAATTATTAGATTATGCGGGCTTGACGTTTCGTTCAGTTTCATTGATTGACACTACCGTTTAGATTCTGAAACCAACTAATTTTCCTTCTTTCACAGACTCTCAACTGGTTTTTCAGTCCAATCAATTATCTATTGGAAAGACTAGAAGGATTGCTACTTTTGCTAGCTCCAACGTCTGCTCGAAAGCTTTTAACTTAAACAACTTAATATTAATTCACATTCAAAAGCATTTTTGTCCTCCAGATGATAATTGTTTCAGTCTTAATGTCATTATGTTGCTTTTTCGTTGTTTATTACTATTGCACTACCGTTGTTTTGTTCGGTACTTACTTTTTCGATATTTCATTAATATCATAATTAGCTTTAAACAATTTTTATTTATGTTTTGTCCCCAAAAGTGTAGTCCGCAATTTACTATGAAAAAAAATTTGCATTTTTAAAAAATCAGATTTGTATTTAGTTATTTGTCTACGAAATCAAAGAGTGGTTACGTTTTACTATCGAAATGTTTATTAGTTTGATTCCATTCTTCTTCAGTAAATCCAAGCAAAGAGATTTCATCAGGATCCATTAAATTGTTCTCTGCTCGACAACGCAAATAACCGGCCGCTTCAGATCTACATAAAGAATTATTCCAATGATTCTTTTTCATACATTGAGTCCATTCCAACATAGCAACTTTACATACGCCATGATGATCTAACGGAAAGCTTCCTCTTAATGGAGGAAGGACTTGGGATCTATTTGGAATGTAACCTGTGGAACTGGCGGACACTGTAAGAAATATCCCCATCCCTAAAAATACAAGACTGAAGTACACAGCGATTTGAAATAAACAGAGGAAATTTTATGGCATATATGAATAATAAACAGATAATAAAAGGATAATCTGAGTCTACTTGGAGTTTAGAAGCTTATGACTCATGACAAAACCACTTATAAAGAGTTCACGCAGTATAAATCATGAAAAAGTGCCATCAGACAAAAAGACCACCCGTTTACCTACCCTTGCTTATAAATAGTTATTATTACTTTTTCGAGCTACTACCTTGTCTGACAACCATGGAACGTCTAATCAAGTGTGTAACTTTCGCAACAAGTTCAAGCGCACTTTTACGTAAGTACATTTGACGTACTGTTCAGAAACATAACATTGCAACTTATTTAGAAACTGAATTTGACTTCACCCCGAATGCTCTTTTAGAAAGATGGCTTAAAGTTGAAAATTTTCGTATCATGGTAACTGTTATTATGGCCAGCTGCTTGCCACTAGATAAGTAAATGATTTTTCAAAATTTTAAGTTTGATGCTTAACACTTGTGCACATCTTAGAAACGTACTGGTTTACAGGAAAGAAGTTTACTAAACAATGTCACGACATTCGTATGCTCGGTTATTTTATGGGTATATAATGCTACAACTAATAGTAAATCAGAATTATCAAGCGTGTACAAACGATTAGCCAGTTAAAAAAGTCACCTAGCGTCCCAAACTGTTAAGACTCATATAGAGACCGTGAGATGCTACAACTGATAGTTAAACTACATAACTACTAATGAAAAATAATATTTAAAGTTCACTGTACTTTAATGATAGCAGTTGGCGGTGCATAAAAGATAGACATTCGATGTAGTCTGTGTTGCTTAGTTTACGTATCCATATCAAATATGTATGCATAACGATGATATGTATTTTGGGACCACAGAATTAGTAATGCCTGGATTAGAAACAGAGTACTAGGTAAGGATATGAAATCGAATAACGAGGTAGTAAATCTTCATCAAATGAGACGGTTGGGATGTGTTACGTATACCCAACCACCGTCTACCTCGTTGGGCGATGCTTTTCGGTGTGAGAGTAGTCTGGAAGAAAGCTAGGGGCGGCCAAACCAAAACATGACATCAGTCCACGAAGTTGTTGATAATTGAATCTAGCCATGTTGATAGGTGTAGACTACATGGTTGGGGTCCTCATGATCATCGTGTGCAGTGGTTAGAGACTGAAGGTCATGGCCCAAAATCGTTTGCATTGGTGCACATCCATTCACTTTCCTTATTTCTGTTTTCTTTTTATACGTACAACTACTGATACTGTTATTACTATTTCTTTAGGATTTGTATAAAAAGAACCATTTCATTGTGCTAATATGGTATGGAAACTTGAACCGATAATCCTAAATGCCAGGTTCTCCATTTCAAATGACTGAGTGACTTAACACTACTGCCACCTAAGGCTCAAATTTCCCTCTATTAGTCCCCGAACCGCAAACGAGCAGAAATGATTTCAAATAAGCCTATACATTCGTATAAATTTAAACTGTACATTTATGCAGGGTACGAGTAGAAAAAATCCAACGGGATAAATTCCAGGTATATCCAAATAAAAGTAGGTGATTGCATATGATTTATCTTTATGCGAAACAACTAAAAGAATTGCGAATGAAAATTTATGGAAGTCAACATCCGAAACCTAAGGAAGAACGATCAGTCGTTCTTGACCAATATACATAGAGGCACAAAAGTGCGCCAGTCCAGGTTGCTGTGCCACATTACCATGACGTGATGTAATTGCTATAGATAGCAAGAGGAGGATGGGTCTGAAAAAATATGGAACAATTTTGAAGGTCAACATTGAGAGAAAAGTAAGGATTAAGTGCACCTATGTCATTGTGATCGATTCTAACCCAAATCACTCGGAGTCTCTAATTAATAAATGCGCAGACACGAACCAGGTAGCTCTCACCAAATCCTGGAGCAATCATTTCATAAACTGTTGACTTCATAGTCTGATACCATGTTTTGGTTTAGTGACCTCTCCCAAGTTTACTTAAACATATTTCCTCAACTAGCATCGTGCTTCAGAGAAGGCGGTGGCTAGGTATCCGAAGCATATGTTCTACACACAGCAGTCGATAAAGACTGGTAACTCTATTAACCCTTTGATATATTGCCGAGCAGCTTACACCATAACCACAATGCACATTTAGTTGCTCCAAAGCCAAACATCAAATCAGCGGAATACTGCGCGGTATATTCATCCCTTGATTGGTGAACGGACACCTCGCGTACCCTAGAAGCAGCCAAAGCCGAGAAATATCGAGAGAGCTTTTTGAAGCGATGTGGTAATTATCCTGATCAACTGTAGACCAATGTAATATTAAGGACTAAGCTGAAAAATCACTGGAAGAAATCAGAACAATCAACCTCACAACATTACCTAATAAAGAAAAGAAATTTTGGTATAAAAATGAGTTTATTAGTTATGACAATAAATTATGTACAGTTTTCAATTGTGGATGATAGGTACCACGCATGTACTCGGTTCACCGACATCTCTTAATAGCAACGCAATCTGGAAAAATTAGAAATTTTCCAGTAATAAAATAACATTTAGAAAATACATGGATATTTAATACTGTGACAGTTAAAATGAACCTGATCGAATAAAGAAATGTCGTTTTCTGTGGTTATCAATGGATAAAATTCGCCTTTAATTCAAATCAGAGAAGGGTTTTGTGGATATTATAGCAATTTAGTAGTTGAATTTATGAGTCAATCGAAGCTAGGCCACCACTGGAAGCACTGAACGGCCGTTGCGTTCTAATATGAGACTCTTCAGCAGTGCGCATTCACGACCCCGCCTCGCGAGATTCGAACCCAGGATATATCAGTCTCGCGCGCGAACGCTTAACCTCTAGACTACTGAGCCGGCATCCAACGGTGTTAATGTCTAGCTTCAAACAATCCACGAAATTGCGCCACCGCCCATCATTGTCTGCAGTGAGCCACTACCTCACAACAGACCCGGTTGAACTCCACCGGCTCAGTGGTCTAAAGGTTATGTGTTCGCGCGCGAGACCGATCGGTCCTAGCTTCGAATTCCGCGAGATGGAGTCGTGGATGCGCACTGCTGGGGAGTCTCATACTAGGATAGAACGGCCGTCTAGTGCTTTTAGATTTTCTATTTTGTGAAGATAAAATTGCTCGTCCTCACCCGTTGATCAGTCTAATTTTTACCTAGTAAAGACTAGTGTACAACTAGAGAAGATTGACATGTAAATTCTATAGACTAAAATGTTTTTACTACTTTACCTTATGTTATTTAGGCTTATTAACATTTATATTTATCAATCAAGTGAAGCTATGTGTTCATGAAATAATACACAGTGGAGACCGTATCAATTAGAAAGGTACATTGAATCCCTTGACTTCAGTATCAGCCTTTGGCATTTATGAGCGTAGTATTTGTGGAAGCACAAAAACCCGATTAAGTGACAGAAAATACCTGTCATATGGTTATGATACATATAATGAAACTTATAAAATAATAATATAAATAGAAGAATTGAATTTCGATATCAAAAATAACTTAGATTACAACAGCAATACAGAAAGAAATTCAATTCACGATAAACAGTACGATATTTACAATACGACTGAAATTACTAACTTTGTTTTGAAGATTCGCTTAAAATTGAACATGGACTGTTGGCCACCCTGTAATAGATAAAATAACATCGATTTCTGAATAAATATAGATTTACCATTGACTTTTTGAATAGGTAGTTTACATTATCTTGATCATGGTAGTTAGTACTTAAATGTGTTTTTATCACTGGAAAACTACTGAAATATAAGTAGAAAATCGTTCTTTGTATTAAAATGAATTTACATCTCAGAGAACTTGCAATTCATTGAATGATGTCAATCAATAATCAACTTCATCTAAATAGCATTAAACTCATACATAGCGTATGTTCGAATCATTTTGAATGTGTTACTTGTGTGACTGATGTAACATTATAGTAAATCAGTAATATGTTTTTGAAATGACTTCTGGACGGTACGATGTGAAGTAGTAGGTAATTTTACTTCCTATTTTAAACAAAGACTGAGTTTTAATTTCGGAAAATATAAGGACTTGACGATATTTTCATAAAAAAAATGATAAAGACTGAGTATATATACTTCATATTATTACCGCAGGTTTGAAACGTACCGAGAACTGCGTGAGATCACGTTCATACCTAAGAATTAGTAGGGGGAAAAGGCTTTTAGATATTATATTGAAGTATAGATACGTCAATTTAATTAACTGATATTAAATTCATTACATGACGCCGCAAACTGTTAGAGTCAAACTAGTGCCTTTGAACATACTGGCACTTATAATACTAGAACAACTGGGTAAAAATAAGATCTCTAAAAATAACTTCCACAATACCCACTGCTAGGTTGTATTCGAGCAACTATTGTACCCATTCTTGTTCACCAAGGTGATATAATGTGAGGTGGTCAAACAGCAATTCTAAAACTAATCACAAAGTGTCTTTACTTTCTTGAAGCTTTCCAAACTAAATAAGTAATTAACCGAAAAAACTGCTTGCCACAGTAGGTCTATAAAAATAAAAGTAACCGCCGTTACCCCAAAAAATAAGGTTAATTTGCATTAAGAATATATTGTCTACAGGTCTTCACTACGTATTATTCAAACTGTTCTTTTTAGAGTAGCCCGTTTATTACTATTCAACCTGATGGGTATAAATTACTTTAGAATATTTTACGCCAAGAAAAAGAGAGCAGTTGGAAAAAGTTACGAGTTCCTGTTTACTTTTCTCTCCATTAGATACATCCATAATGAAAAGGGTGGTACTTTCAACGCGGACTCGTCTTCATATGTATTATGTCACGGTTTATCGCTGGAGGAGGAAGCATACATTTAGCGATGACAGCTAGAGGTTTATGAGCGCCATTGTTAGTCTAAAAAAATTATTGGAGGCTGAGACCAAAATAA